CATCACAAACCAAACTGTTGAGTTCTACAGGAATGTTACTTGTTGAGATGGGTATGGACGCCGCGTCGTTTGCAAACACGGAAGCGAAGTGAATACTGAATACTGTATTTTGGAGCAAGTAGAAAATAATTCTGTACAACTCCATCGGGTGATAATCAAAAAGCATTTTTATAACAAATAAATTAACACGTCCGGTGGTTATCCTGAGATGGTTCAGCAACTCCTTCTGTAGCACACAAAATGCTTGTTTACACAGTGAGTCACAAGTGAGCGGCCAATGCGGACACGCGATCGGAACTGGAAGTTAGCAGGTGTCCGTCCGCGTCTTCCAGACATGATACGTCACCTTTTGGCTTCAAACGGCGTTTCACGTAAGCAAAGATCTTCTTTGGGCCATCCTCGCGTCAGTTGCAAGCTTTTCTTCGAACTTCCGGCGCTTTATCAATTTCACTTTGTTGCAAATATTTCGCTGTCTTTTATATGCTTCGTAATCAGTGGCGGAGCCAGAGAGGCGAAATGCGTCCCACATTCTTCGCCGTAACCGAGCCAGCCTACCATATTCCTTGTCGAACCAGTGTGGTTTGATTGGTCCGACTTTCCGAAATTTCAACGGGACAAACTGAGAACAAAGCGAAGCCAATCCTTCCTTTATTACTGTCCAACCGTCCTCCACTGATGTAACATGCGGTAGAGACCAATCCATTTGGCTTGCTGCTCGATTTAATCCATCGAAATCAGTTTTCCAGTAGTTGTAAGCTGGTTCCACCGGAGATACACTCGGCAAGTTCAGTTCCATAGTGGCTATCAGCACGGAATGGTCGCTTTTAGCTAAGGGTTCCTGGATTCGGATGTCATGCAACCGCTGTTCGAAATTTGTCACCATCAAATCAAGGCACGATGGGTTCGAACGCGCCGTCATGCGCGTAGGTTGGTATATGTGTTGCGATGCCCCAGTTTCAAGCAACAAGTCAACAAACTTTGATTCGACTTCAGAATACCCGGGCATGAGTTGGATTTCAGGCCATTGAATGTGGGGACAATTGAAGTCACCCATGAGTAGAAAACATGGACGACTCATGTTGTTCCCAAGATGCGGTAGCCAATCTAAAGAGCGGTTCAGAGGGCTACGGTAGAATGCACCTACTGTCAGCTTGCCGCGCCTGAGGTTGATCGAGCACCATACCTGTTCACACAGTCCATCTTCACTTCGGTACACGCTTACAAGCCTCCCACGCAGGAAAGACCGTATATAAAGTAAGACACCACCACGAGGATTTGATATTCTATCGCAGCGAAAGCATAAGTAGCCACTGAGATCGACTTCCTCTGCCATTACCTCAGAAGTTAGCCATGTCTCCGCCAGTCCTACGACGTCTGGTCGCTCAGAGGCAACGAAGCGACACAGCTCATCCCGTTTGTTCATAAGGCTACAGATGTTTGTGAATGCAGCACGGAGGTCCTGAGAGGCACCGCCGGACGTGCCTGGAGGTTGATCAACCGACTGATACGGGTTCGTGCACCCTTCTTGATCACACGAAAATTTACGATGTGCAGATCAGTTTCGCCTTCTTCTGTACGGCGTTTAAGCTCAAGGACCGCAGTCTTCAAGCGGTTTCTCTCTTCGGGTTCCAAGTCTCGGCAGATGTGAACCCTGGTGCCTTTAAGCCTGGAGAGACGAGACAGAATGAGTTGTGACGTGTTGTGGTCAGCAAAGGTGATTCTTAAAGGTCGACATGATTGGTTAGTAAGCTGACCAAGTCGGACTACTTGTTTTATCGTTACACTGCCTTCACCCACATCCAACAGTTTATCAACGAGCCCCTGAAGGAACTCAACATCGTGATCATAACGTTTCTGAGGGTTTTCATCTTTTGACTCTGGTGCATGGAACACCATGAGATTATAACGCCTCAGGGAGATCGGTGACAAACTTGGGGCAGCAGGAGTGGAGGGGCTTGTCGTTTTGGACGGTCGTCTATCGTTAGGGGGAGGTTGAAAGTTGTTGCGTGAACTTTTGCGTTTTTGAATGATCCATTTATCTTCAGTGTTCAGAGGTTCACAGGTATGCGCTGAAAGATTAGGGGGCTCCGACTCTGAGTCGTCAATCTGTGGGGAACATTGGTTGTGAGAATCGGTAGGGGTAGAAGACGCTGGCGGTGGTGCAGATCGTGGAGTTGCAGGGGAAGGGGAGTTCACAGAGGTACTCTCACGAGCGCGTTTGACCCCACGAGCTGAATGAAGTGGCTTCGTCGGAGAGATGGCTTTTCCCGGAGCCGGTAGTGGTCTCCGTGCATTTTGTTGTAGTAAACCGCGGCATTTATCACGCACAACTTGGAAAAATCTATGTCGGATGTCAACAGATTTTCGGAAAACTTCCACGGATAGGCCGATACACGAAATATGAAACAGAACATCACAGCCGAAACAACGAAGTGCATGGGCCTTTTGTCCTACAACTTTCGAACATGAGCCACAAGTAGATTGGCACGGCATCACACGTTGGAGCAAATCCAAGATGGCGGACACGGACGGTAATTTGATTTATCAACAAATTCTCCGAAACAAGTGAGAGAATGCTCACCAAATTTTCACAACTTGAAGACTACACCAAAAAGAAACTTTTTGGCACGCAATTTACACAGATGAAACACAAATAACACAGTAATCCGGAAGCGGAAGTAGAATCCAGAAGCAACGCTCAAAAATCCGCGGCGTCGAAATCGAGGCTGCATCGACCACAACTTTACTTTGTGTCAATTGTTGGAGCACCTCCATATTTATTAGCGACCCACTGTAGCCATACTTCTCAACATCAAAAGTGCCTTCGATTCGATGGATCGATGTGTCATTTGGGACTGTCTATTGAGGAATTGTGTGCCCGATAAATATGTTGATGTCATAAGAGCGCTGTACGCACATGGTTCGGGCAGAGTGAGCGTTTACGCGAACTTTCGCCGCTCTTCAGTATCTCTATCCGTGTGAAATGTGCTTGCCTGCTGTCACCTTTCCTCTCTAATTTCGCCATTGACGAAGTCATGGAAACAGCGTTCGCTGGACGCTACCTACAAGTTGTGGAGCTGCTTCCTGGTGAGCGACTTCTTGACTTGGAGTATGCCGACGACATTGCACCCATATATGACAGCTCCCGAACGTGCCAAACAACACTGGCTAGATTAGTACTGGCTTTCAGTCGTGTTGGGTTTTGCTTTACTCCTTCGAAACAAAATCATTCTCAAAAATTGGGAGACCTCCACCCCTGCGCTGACCCTTGGTGAGGATCAACTAGAAGTCTCTCAGGAATACAAGTATCTGGTCAGCTATATTTGCGCCCGTGGGATTGAAGATGAGGTCACTATCCGTATAGCAAAAGTTCGAGGTGCTTTCGCCATCTCTGCCATCTATTGCGCCGACGCGACATTACTCTTGCCATGAACTGCAGAGTTGATAATGCAACCGTCCTTTCAACCCCCTATACGGTTGCGAAACGGCCCATCCAGTCGAGACAGACAGACAGACTAGCTACGTTCGAGCATCACTGCGTTCGCAGCTTAGCTTATGTCTGGTGGGAGCACCGCGTGAGCAGTGAGTATGTTCGGCGTCGTGCATTTGGTGCAGGAACAGCGAACGAAATGCTCGGCACCGTTATATCACGAACCAGGCTCCGATTGCTGATCCACGTGTTGCGCATGCCAACACACTGATTCCTTCGTCCTGCGTTGTTTGCACCTCGGGGGCGTGGATGAAAGAAGAAGAGAGGGGAGCCAAGCGATGACTTGGTCAAGTGGGAAGAAAACCCTCACTTCGAAGTTAGCGTCGGTTGTGGCGTCCCGACTGCAAGGTTGGATTCCCAAGTACGATGAATACATTTGGTTGGATACACTTATTGACATGGTAAAAGCCAGCCCCAGTGGCGTTTGTGTTGGAAGTTTATTTGTCCATCCCTCTCCCCTCGAACTTTTAAGCTTTTTATGGTCTGTAATTTTAATATCTTTTTTCTGTTGCCACATATCAGCTGAATTGTGTTTCTCACTCTTAGCTAACGTGTATTGATGATGGTGGGGAATTCGCATGAACAAAATGCGCCGCACTGCCTTTTCGTCGGTATTTCTCTTACTAGCACTTTTTCTCGACAATCGTTTTGTTAGATTTCTGCTTGTCCTCTTACTCTCGATGGCACACATTTGCCTTTCGACAAATATTTTTACTTGCTCTCATGATTTTAGCCAGTAACGTGAAACGGAAACTGAAAATGTGTACTTCGTCGGGCTTCCGTTTTTTACCTCGTTTCCCGAGTATCTCCCTTTTTAGGTCTACGATTTCAACACAAGTTTATATAAAACAGCACAAACATATAAGCCGAGACTACACTGGACACGCTCATATGCACACTACATCTGGTTAGGTCATCGCCACCACCCAACTGTGAAGTAACTTTGGTCCCATTGTGGAGGCACACATAGATATCTGCCGCTGTGATGCTTTCCTTTTTCACCATTTACCAAGAACTTAGAAAGGCCCTGAAAATGGAAGTGATCCAAATGGAAAGTCTTCAATGAAACATTTGCTCAAGAAACAGTTGTTTCTCATCCTGTTCCTAAGTTGACGGTACACTTTCGCTTACATCCGAGCACTGAATCCCAACTCGGAGCTTGGTTATCACCCACTGCTTCATAGAGTGTGTGCAGGACTCCCTTCTGATCTTCGTTCCTTCTTGATCGCTAGCTCTCTCCAGTAGATATTTTCGCTAGGTTGTATTACATGTATCATAGCAGCACTCCGTTTGTAGTAACCACCCGAAGCTGTTTATGCCAATGATTTAGAACATTTGGGAATTTGTTACTTTTTTTCTTCTCCCACTTCGCTTCCACTTGTTTCTCTTGTATCCGATATTGACGTTGCCGCAAAGCTATACTCTTTTCTTTCGATTTTCAGTTGCGACCTTTGAAACATCACTGTGGTCAAGGCCAAATCCGTAATCGAAAATGATATAATCCTGTGCAATGGACTATGTGAAGCTCCGGAATTATAGACACGCAGATCCTCTTAAGGTTCGGCAAGTGTGGGACTCCCTTGGGGCTACCAAGGGATATCGTGTGATTGTTTTGGCCGACAAGTTAATCAAATCGCTGCGGAAAATATTCGCTATGAAGGATGATCAGATAAGATTGTCACTTGATGAAATCGAAGGTGATGGATTAATCGAGAAGGTGGATCCATCGTTCGGGAAGAGTGGACCAGTTGGATATAGACTACCAGACTTTTCAGCCCCTTGTCCTCGAGGAAAACACGATTGGTATTGTTTTCAGTGTCATAAACCTGGAGAAGTACTTAAATGTACAGATTGCTTCCGCGTATATCATGTAGATTGTGCTCAAGAAGCTTCTAGACTTGCTAGTCCATCTTCTAAATCGCTCCGCTCTCCAATGCTTCATGACGGGTTATTCGACGACTTCAGCTGTGCCGTCTGTGAATCTCGACCCAAGTGCGAGTTCTCTCGCAAACAGATACGCAAACTCCTTGAATTCGCCATTCACCACTTGCGTAAGCAACCACTGTGGAAAACATTTTTGCACATCGGTTATCCGAATGAGATCAACAAAAATGAATTTCTTGTATTTAAATACACTGATTTGGAGTTACTGCAGCGCAAGATCAAAGATGGCCGGTACGCTGCTCTGGAGGAGTTCTCGATGGATGTGCAATTGTTGGTGCACGATGTATGCATCCTTCACGGGCCCTACAGCTCCCAGGCGGATGAGATTCGTTTTTTTCTTCGTTCTGTGAATGAGGAATTAAAGGAGATCCAGCTTTGTACAGATTGTTATATCAATGCAAAAACCCGCCTAACCGACTGGATCAGCAAACCTTGCAAACCTCCACATGAACTGATCTGGGCACGCAATCGCACCCCGACTGGTGCAGGCATGTACGGAGATGCAGTTATTAGCCATTATTACTGGCCGGCCAAAGTCCTACTTGAACGGGATGACGCTTACGAGGTCAGTTTGATATACGCTTTCGTACAGGCTGAACAACATTCAGTTCTACCATACCCACTTATCCGTCTCACTTGGTCACGCAAAACCGTTTTAATTCACCGTGGCACCTATTCTCTCTGGACCAATGTTTATCAGTCGCGTGCACTGTAGGGATACGGGATCAAGATGACTTCCATATGCTGCTCATAAGCAGCTCTTTTTATACTTCTGCAATGAATTCTGTACCAGTATTTTTTACCGAACTATCCACTATGGACAACCTCATTGACATAAAACTGGGCAATAACTCGTTCAATGTTAATCGTTTCTTTCCTATTCTTCATCGTTTAATTACATACCCTTATGGAAATCCAAGCACACTAGCTCTCTCTCTATACACGCTAAATTCTCCATGGTTTTTCCCCTCACTCTTGCTTTTGGCATTTGCTACGTGTTCCCTTAACATGTCAAACTACGGACTAGTATTCACCACTTCCCATCACCTCTATAAATCGGCCCCACTCCGCTCATATGGAACTTTGGGTAGCTTCGTGTTAGCATTTTCCTATTTAGCTGAACGGTGTTTTTTTAAGTATACACCTTTAGATTGGAGCCCGGTTACCGTGCTCGCTCGTTTTCCCCTGTAGATTCCACCTTACCAAGCTACACCGCCCGGTTTCCTTAACCGGCTTTATCGCTCATATCCTAACATAGATGAATCAGTAGACCACATTTGCAAGCACACTGCACCCCGGATGTTGACGTGTTGCATTTCTGTAACTAGAATTGCTAACTCAATTGGGTTTTTTCGACACAGCCCTGATGTCAGATGCAGCGTACGCCGATGTGCCGATTAGCTTCCTCTGATAGCTGAGCATCAATGAATTCAGGTAAGCCACGTCCCTACACATTTTAGGTAGCGCGCCTCCATCGTCACCGTTTTTTTTGCGAAACAAGTCCTGGTACGCTCCTTATTCACCTCGAAATTTACCTGGAAGCGATGCATATGTTTTCTGTTGCCAGTGGAGAATCCTTCTCAGTTTTGTTACATATACCTGACAACATGCTATGCGCGTAGATGCCTCACCTAATTGCCTTTAATTTCGATAAAATGGGTTTTCTGACCCCGTGCATAGCACAGGAAATTCTACTTGTGATACTGTGTTAAGAGGAGCATCTACTAATTAACTAATTAGTGAATCTATTGCCCAGCAAAATCCAATGGTTTTCCCGTACTTCCCCATTGGATACTTTCTTTAGTCGCTCAGAAAAATGTTCTCATACCGTTGTCCATCCATCCATATATTTAAACCAGACAGCTATCGAAACGGCGCCTTCCATCCATCGTCATTCTGTCGTATAGACTGGATTGACCCACATCAGCGGTTGGGCCCACTTCCCACATGATGCTGCTGGGACATCAAGGATTCACTTTCACTTCGACCTTTGTCAGTCCTCTCATGCAATGACTGACGTTCTTTCAACATTCGTTATGATTTCAGACCCCACTTTTAATTGTTCTAATATTTTCACCACTTGATAACTCAATTCTAATCAGTATCAGTATCAATCCGGCGCATCTCACCATTGTGCTCACCTTTGATTGGCTGCTCTGAACTAATGATGCTCTCATGAGTTCTTGTATGACATCTGTTTGTGCAACTGTACCGCGTTCTGTCTACACCCGGTTTCCCACTGTATGAAATTGTCGGGGTTTAGCGTCCTGCTTCCCACTGAACTGGCTCACAATAGTATGAGGCTTGCCAACATTTAATAGTAATACTCTTCTCCTGCGCAATGGACGCAAGACATCTGCACCTACGTAAAGACTGTGAGCTGCTTGCTTTTATTACCCATCCCTCAGACGGAATAAAGCCTGGAACCATGCGAGTGGTGGCCACACTTATTTTCCAGCCGACTCCACTACATGAATACACATTGTAACGGCACGTTTGCGAATCTACATGATAGTATCCTATATTGCGACAGGTTACAGCGCTAGTACGTGCTGCGGCGCCTTCTGAAAGTATCTATTACTAGATCAATGCTTGCTAGACATTTTTTGACGAACCATTGGGGGGAAACATGCAAAACAGAAGTATAAGGGGCAAAAGCTGGACCTCAGCCTTTCCATGTAATCGCTCTTTGAACGTAACAGACTCATCAGAATCGCTCATCACACATTTTATGGGGACAGTTGGCAACATCCTGAAGCCGGTGTTTGAAGAGACTGGATTGGCTGGCAGGTAATCTAATTGCACGACTCAATTCCGCGATACCAGGTTATGCGGTTCAAGTAAACTGTCATTTGTTTGGTGGTAAGAAGCGGGCCACTTACCACTAAATTTGTTTCTGTTGGTGCACCTTTAGCATGTGCATCACAACGCATCTTGCGTGCTGCTCAAAGCCTTATGTGACTGTGAATAGCGCTCGCCGGACGGCTTTTGCTTTATTTGACAGGCTTGTTTGCATCGTTCATTACTTACTTTGTGCAGAGCAGACTTTTCGTGTTTATTTTTATCAAATTCAGTTTCTTCTTATGATTCTGAATTTGGTTATTGTTTTTTGGTCTCGTGTCCCTATATTTCACTGGTACTTTTATCGCGTACTTATCCTTCACTCTGTCACCTTTACCGTCACATCTGCTAAGCTATCAGTAATGACAAAGCTGACTTCCTGTGGCACTTGTTGCAAAATAGTTGGGCATAGAGCCAATGCTGTTACATGCCTCAAGTGTGGTGTGAATTTCCACATTTCGCGTATTGGTTTGTTTTTAGATCATATTAAACTACTGTGTGAAATCCAGCAAGACTTTGTCCAAGTATTATGCAAGAAATGCGCAGCCACTGTGCAGCCACAAACAGCCGAAAAGTCGCGCGAGCCTACAAGACCGACGAAACATTCCATAGGTAGGAGCTCCGTAGGTTCATTCAAGCAAGCAGAAACCCAGTCACCTCTATGTTCGAACGAGCCCATCTGCACACCGGCTGCAAGCTCTCCAACACAATGTCCATCTGTTGCTGGAGACTCAGCTGGCGTGTCCTTGTTGCGTATTACGGACATTAACATACTGGTGTGCGATAACGCAGGCCTTGAAGGCCAATGGAGAATGCAGCGAAGCAAAAAGAAGACAACTGCCAGCAATCAACGGTATTGTAACCTTATGATATTTCACGCGCCTGGGTCGACAGATGCTAGTCCTCAGGCTCGTTATGACAACGACATGGATTTTCTTCAGAGCCTGTTTGATTGGCTTCTCGACGTGAATGAACAGGGGTTGCAGGTGAAACAAATCACCCCTTGGAAAGAGAGAGGAGAGGAAATCCCTGCCTCTGTGAGTCACGGTTGTTGATCCAACGAGTCCGAAGCTGATACTATCCCGCCTCGGTAGTCTATGTGGTCTAAAGATCCATATTCGTCCCAATTTGAATCCGTCAGACAGAGAAAAACTGAAGTCCACTATCGTAGAGTTGAAGCGGTGGACTGAGAGTGGAGAAAACAATTTCCACATTGTAGATTTTCGTGTAGTTCTCCGGGTCCGCCGAACCCGGATCAACAGATCGATGAGACTTCATGCGCCTCTGCCAGTTTCTACCGTGGCCTGTGCATAGCCTTCACAAATGTTTGTAGTTTAAAGAAAAAATGTGACGATGTATTTCACTACGTTGCTTCACGTCGTCCGGCCGTACTAGGGCTGGCCGAAACCTGGTTGAATCCTGGGGTCACTACCCAGGAAGTCCATCCAGATCAGTGGCTGCTCGTGCTTCCGGTGCGACAGACTATCAGACGATCAAGGTGGTGTGCTGTTATATATTCGGTTCTTGCTTTGTGCGAGACTGGTACACACCTATCATAGCGAAGATGACTTGCGCGAACAGGTATGGTGCTCGATCCGCCTAAGACAATGTGCACTGTTTGTGGGTACTGCTTATCGCAGCCCGCGAATTCGATGCCTAGGTTGGTAATCGCATGTTAGAAACAACATGAATCGGCCGCGCTTCTCGCTTATAGGTGATTTTAACCCCTCGAATACTGTGGCCTGATGTTCAACTTCTCCCCCGGCACTGTGAAGTCGAGGCACCGTTTGCGGAGATGGTGTTTGAAATTGGGGCAGCACAACATTTCTGCCAACCGACGCGCGTTACACCGCATTCCGCTTTATCGTCCATGGGCATGCTACTAACGCTAATTTTGAAGTCCTTATCGGCCATCATCTCACCTGCCGTGACGGATCTATTCACCAGATCGCTGTCCGAGGATGCATTGCCAAGCGACTGGAAATGCTCGGTAATGAAGCCGATTCCAAAAACTGGGGACCCACGTAATGTGAACAATTACCTCTGTTTTTCCTGGGTGCTGGAGAAGCTTGTGAAGGAGGGTCTTCTTCAGCTGCTGGAGTCAAAAGATCTAATCACCTCGGCACAGAACGGCTTCATGAAGAGCCACTCGTGCATCACAAACCTGCTGTTGACGCGGCAGGAATGGTTGCAAGCGTTGCATCGCGGGAAGTCAGTGGATGTTATCTATATTGATTTCAGTAAAGCTTTCGAACCATGAGGTCCTGCTCCACAAGCTGAGGATGTGTGGTGTTGGTGGCGCAGTGCACCAGTGGATCAGTGCTTTCATGATTGAGAGAAGATGGCGGGTTCAAATGGATGACCACTTAACGGAATAGTACCCGTCCACTAGCGGCGTACCCCAAGGCACAGTACTGGGGCCCATTTTATTCCTGATCCACATCAACGAAGTACCTCAGCTTATTCTATCACCTTGCGCTTTACTTGCCCATAACCTGAAGATTTAGAGGATTATTGATTCCCACGGCCACTGTGACGTCCTTCAGCAGGACCTCAACCACCTATCCCGGTGGTCTACAGAAGTTGACCTACCTGTCAACACGGCCAAGTTTTCGTTTTTGAGCCTGGGGAGGTGTAGTAATGGCCGTGCGTACACCCTGGCCACCCCCCCTACATCCCACCAGTTCCATAAATGATCTAGGCATACTCTCACGCTGTGATTTG